TATCCCCACTTTTCTGCGACCTCCTCTCCCTTCACAATGCGTCTTCACAAAAAGGATGTTTCTGCGCCACACCCTGTACATGACACAACAGGATGCAACATATAAAGATTGTGGTTACTAGCTTTAATGCATACATGGTTGTGTGTAATGGTATATACGGAGAAACCTGGATATTATGTCTCTGGAAGGGCCATTTAAAATGTATGTACGTGGGGCAATCCAAAAGTTACCGAAATTTGAATTTTGCGCGTGAATGGTGATGAGTACATCGAAATACTGCTAGGTGTCTCCTCACACATCCTTCTTGAATCAGTGTGGCAAGCGGCGTCGAGTTGAGTGGTTGGGTTTATTGTTGGTGAACGTATTTCCATTGTTGTGTTTCCATGAGTTTGCAGTTTTGCGATGGCTGACCTGAGAGAGCAGCGTGTCTGTATAAAGTTTTGTTTCAAACTTGGGAAAACTGCTGCAGAAACGCACCAAATGTTGAAGCAAGCTTTTTGTGAAAACAGTTTAGGCCAGACACAAACTTGCAACTGGTATAAGCATTTTAAAAATGGCCGAACATTGACTGATGATGACGATCGTTCGGAACAGCCGTCAATGGGCAAAACACCAGAAAATGTCGCGAATGTTAGGGATCTGATTCTGCATGATCGTAGACTGACCATCCAAGACCTCTGTAACACCTTGGGACTAAGTTATGGTACATGTCAACGAATTTTGTCAGAGGAACTGAACATGAGGAGGATTGCGGCGAAGTTTGTGCCACGACTGCTGCAAAATGAACAGAAGCAGCATCGCTTGGAAGTCTGCAGGGAACTTCAGCAACAGCTTCAAGAGGATCCAAACTTTCTTTCGAAGGTTGTCACTGGTGACGAAAGTTGGGTTTATGGCTACGACCCTGAAAGCAAGCAGCAATTGTCGCAATGGAAGAGCCCTTCTTCACCTCGGCCAAAAAAAGCTCGACAAGTCAAGAGCAACATTAAGTCCATGTTGATCTGTTTTTTTGATACTGACGGGATTGTTCATAAGGAGTTCGTCCCTCCTGGTCAGACAGTCAATAAAGAGTTCTATCGCGATGTTCTAAGGCGTTTGAGGGAGGACATGAGGAGAAAACGTCCAGAGAAGTGGCGCATGAACGACTGGGTACTCCACCATGACAACGCACGACCGCATATGGCTTACATTGTGCAGGAATTTTTTGCTAAAAACAAGATGGCAGTTGTTCCCCATCCACTATACTTGCCAGACTAGCTCCATGTGACTTCTTTCTCTTCCCAAAAATGAAAATCAAGTTGAAGGGGCGAAGGTTTGATACAGTTGAGGAAATTCAAGCGGAAACGCAGATGGTACTAAACACCCTAACAAAGAAATATTTCCAGGATGCATTTGAAAAGTGGCAGAAACGCTGGGATCAGTGTATGCGCTCCCAAGGGGACCGCTTTGAAGGTGATGGTGCAGAATAAGATCTAGGTAAGATGTAATAGTTTTTATTAATATATTTCGGGAACTTTTGGATTTCACCATGTAAAATTAAGGAAACAATAATTTATGTAGGTATTGAAGTTAAATACACTAATTTTATGCTGTATTCCATTAAAACTGTAATGTACTATGGTTCACTTCTTCCACATGTCCAGTAAAGTGAATTTAAACCACGTCTCCAGCAGACAACTCTCCATTTCTTGAAATGGCGACTGACTGTTTCAGGCTCTTCCTTTGACTAGGGAACCTGCCACATTGTTTATAACAATTTTTGGTGTCCCTCCTGTTATTAATAGTGTAGCCAGTATACTGACTGGCTACGATGTGGATGCTGGAGGGGTGAGAGTTCGAGTCCCATAGTGTAAAGAATTTTCTTTCTATCATCCAGACAAGCTCTGGGGCCCACTGAGCCTCCTATCAAATGGGTACCAGGGGCTTTTTCCCTGGGGGTAAAGTGGGAGGGGTGTGAAACTGACCACTCACCCCCAACTAGTGCTGAGGTAAAGAAAATGGGGGTCTATACATCCACTCCCCCATACACCTTCATGGTGTAGTGCTTAATTAGTCAAACACAAGGACAATTTTACCTTTACCTCCTATTATTAATGTGTTCAATGTTGCAGTGCAATTCATAATCTGGCAGCCAGTGCAGCATATGGTTCCTTATTTCCATCTAGTTAAGGTAGAATGTCCATTTATTCTTGAAACGGTAACATTTTTCCTTGTCTTTGGTCCACTCATTTTGATGAAAAATGAATCACAACCAGAAACTCCACTAAAATTGTTCGTCAGTTCAATCAGCAGTAGATTCAAAATCAACACTAAGCATGTCGAACTTATAACTCGCATCACAACTCATTCATCATTACCCACACATGGCCATGGTGGGAAACATGTCTCCGCTCTGCTGGCACAACTTTGGAAGCCATAGAATAGTAAGGAAGAGTACACATGAAGACAATAGATGAGGTAGAATATAATATAGTTGTCCATATGCTTAATTAATTATGCATTATGCCATGAAGATGTATGGGGGAGTCAGTCTCTAGATCCATGTATTCTTGACCTCTGCACTAGTTGAAGATGAGTGTTCACATCAGTGGTTCAAGAAATTTTCCTCTTACGATTTTCATTTTGAAGTACATAAAACAACCACAACAGGCCTAGTTTGTGCTCTGTTTGGGTAGGAAACACAGTTGAATAATTCCAGGAAAATTTAACTTACTTACTTACTCATGGAGCCGAGCCCTTCTTGAGGATCCGCCAATTCTGCAGCTACTTAAGAATTTCCCAGCATTTTATGGAACCTGAAGGTTCATCACCATGTTCACAAGAGCCCTCCACTGGTCCCTATCCTGAGCCAGATTTATCCAATCCATACCATCCCATCCTATCTCTCTAAGATCCATTCTAATATTGCCCACCCACCTACGCCTTGGTCTTCCATGTGGTCTCTTTCCTTCTGGCTTTCCCACCAATATCCTATGCACATTCCTCGTCTCCCCCATTCGTGCTACATGACCTGCCCACCTCATCCTCCTTGACTTTATCATTCTAATTATACTTGGAGAAGAGTACAAGTTATGAAGCTCCTCATTATGCAGTTTTCTCCAACCTCCTGTGATTTCATCTCTCTTTGGTCCAAATATTCTCCTCAACACCCTGCTCTCAAACACCCTCAGTCTATGTTCCTCCCTTAATGTCAGAGAACAAGTTTCACACCCATACAGAACCACAGGCAAAATTATAGTTTTGTATATTATAATTTTTATGTTTTTGGACAACAGACAAGAAGACAAAAGGTTCTGGATTGAATGGTAGCAAGCATTACCCGAGTTCAATCGCCTCTTAATTTCCTCCTGAATCACGTTTTGATCTATTATCGTTGTTCCCAAATATCTGAACTGTGCCACATTTTCAGAACATCTGTTTCCTATCTTTATGTCATGATTTTTCCCTGCATTTTGGTGACAAGACAGTAACATATACTTAGAGGAAAATTTAACATTATACTTAATAGAAATATTGGTGGTACCAATGAAAGCGTGTTAAATGTAGGAAAACATAGATTCAAGGGGCATAAAATCTGGGTTTCATCTGTGTGTGTGTGTGTGTGTGTGTCTGTGGCACACTTTTTTATTCACAAGAACACAGGGTGGTGCTGAGATGTAGGTATTACATTAATTCAGTTTGTAAAAATAAACCTTATGTGGCCCTGTTTATTATAATGGGTGTTGTGTTACTTATTAATTACATATGAAGCTTAAATGGATTGTCTCCCACCAGAATCCATATTTGTTACACGGGCTGTAGTATTCTCAGTTTGCTTGCAAAATTTCAGTGACAAACTGGTCTGGTGAACGCTGTCATATGGATGAAGAGTTAGAGCATGATCGCAGAGAAGACAGGAAGAGGAACTGTCACAGTGCCTATGATGAAGAGTTTGATAGAGGGAGGGTAAGTATTAGCTGTCTGACCTTTGTCAGAATGTACTCTGAAGGCCAGTACATTTGTTACATAATTTAAACACCTATTCCACTGTATATCAGAGCCTAGTTTGATGGGTCTGTTGGATGGAATCAGAAGGCCTTTATTAGCAACAGTGGAGAATTTTAAGTCATAATCTTTTGCTTAGAAAACAAATTTAGAATGTGGAGATCTGAATATGCTCACAGTGTTTGATCCTGATATATAACATGAAGCCGCTAATGGATATAATTTTCCTTTCCTCAGGTGAAGAAAGTGAAACACCATCATTCAGACTCTTATCACAGCAAGCTGAAATACAATCCTTTCCAGGAGTATCACAATTACAAACACCAATGGGGGAATAGTAATGGTGGTGGTTATTATCAGAAACCATACAGGCCGTACAATCATTACAGTACCTACCAACCTCGTCATAAGCAATATGCTGGTCGAAACAAGGGATATCACAATGGAAATAAATTCCATAATCATTACTCTAAGAGAGATCGATGGAGACAATGAGTGGTGAACATGTAGAAAGGATGTAATGTGTTTTTGTAATCTCTGATGAAACTGAATTTATTGGTGCATACAACATATAAAGAATTTAAGTTGTTTAGACCCATTAGATGTTACAAAACATCTGTTCACAGACTGTGAAGTGAGAAATATCATTTATTTCCAGACCAGAACATAGTGATTGTGCACAAGTTTTGAAACATTGCAGCTTCTTCCATTGCTATTCTCATCTGTGTTTTTATCACATTTCAAAACAATGGTTTTCACCAGGAGAACAACCCTTTTTTTAATTTTGTACTGGATGAATCATGTATCATGGAACATGGGTGTTACATGTAAGGAAACTTCTGTAGTGTTTTAATAAATTAAAATGAAAGCATCTAATTGCAAGTAAACTATGTTTGATTTCAGTAAACAATAACAGCTCATAATTCATGGCACCTAGATCAGGTTTGACACACACACACATTCACAGTGCATACCATGTAATAGCTCATGGGGGTCTTCTTTGTTTTGGTTAACTGACTCTGCAGTGGAAACAAGTGGAGGATAGATACATTGCAAAGAAAATGTTAACATACAACCCAGTAAAATGATGAAGCGTAGGGCACCCACAGTCAAGATAGAGGGACCAACATACTCTGAAGAGGATGGAACAGGCAGAGCATGGCCTAATTGACAGAGGCTGATGATGAAGAGGTTAACCAACTGAACTGTCACTGTCTGTAGAGCAGTGTTCTTGAGAAGCTAATACATAGTTGCTGCGCAGCTAGTGAAGAAATTACTGTTCTTTTTATGGAACCTCTAAGTTCTTTGCCATTTTCACAAGAGTCTGTAGTTAAGAAATGTTGGTCAGAACAGTATGCTTTGTTTATTGTGAGCATTATTAACAGAAATAGTATTGTAAGATACTTGGCTAAGTATCCGTGCTTCTTGAGATGTATGCTGAGACAGAGTGGTGTTTTATAGGTGTCCAGATCTTGCAAGGAGCTGCTTATAGATTACTGAAATGCATGTGATCATATGATTATCAGATTAAGCCATATAATTGCAATGGATTGTTTTGCATACAAGCAGAATATATTTAAGTTATGGTTCACACCATTCAGTCTGGTGGGTGGTTGCCAACATCTCAGAATAACATTGCCTCACTACTACCCAGAACACAGGTGGCATGTTCGTCTGAAACGTTGATAACCACCTACCAGGCTGCATGGTATTGAGCCAGAAGACCACAATCTTACCTTTGTTTACTGTGAAAACCTTAAATCTCAGATGACCAGAAGGAGAAATCTGCATGACATTTTTTGAAGACAAACCATTTGTTCTGGCAGAATGTGTTTCATATCTGCTGCATTTAAAAAAGAATTGATCTTTGTACATTAATTAAACATTCCTGATCTGGCAGTACAGCAGTGTGTGCAGAGCCAGAGATAGTGAAGTGACAGTCTGTTCATTGGAAATGACAAAATAGAATCAAGCCCAAGACTGAAGTGAGAGGATTGTTCTTAAATTCTGTTGCAATATCCTTATGGTATATGACAACAAGATTTGCAGCTTACACAGTCATATTGGCAGTTCCTTATCTGTGTGAATAACATGAAGCTCGTGTTATTTAGTTTAAATGGACAGTATGAACACTGATGAAGGACTTTGTTTGCTCCTTTGTGGACAGCCATATCACAGCAGTCCTCCCTACCTCAGTAATCCTTCCAACACTGTTTACTGTAATAACAGTTCTCTCTTACTACCGCTGGGAAGTCTTTGTAAAATGCATCAGCCAGATGTCAGCTAGGTTAGAAATTTAATTGGAAGTGACTGGAAGTGAGTAGTATGTCAGCACATGTTTTGATGTAATGGTCTTGCTCTGCAAGTGGCGTATTAGTCTGTATGCAGGTATACATTTTTTGTAATACTTTGGAATTATCATTTCAGTTAACTTCCTATGTTGCATTATTATGCTGTCATTGTTCAAGCATAATATGACATCGAATCTAAACTTTCAGGTATGCATAATGCAGTAAAAGTCTTACGATTGTGAGTGCTGATAGAATAAAAATTGTAGTAATGTATTCTTGTTATATACATATTAATGGTTTATAAGTATACAAATGCCAAAGTAAACACAAATTGAGAAATATTTGTTGCACTTCTTACCTCCATCCATTATGTTACTGTCCCATTCTGTGTTAACTCATTACATGTCATATTTCCCTGACATGACTCCACTCAGAAGTTTTCATTGTAACTTGTAAATGTCCACAAATCATGTAATTCACAATAATTAAAAAAATGTGGTTATGTTTGAGAATAAAGGTTATTGGCAGGTAATGTTATCTCCCTGAACAAGAAGGTCTCTACTTTTTTATGCATGCCTAGTTTTGAAGTGTGTGAAATGTTAAAAGGAAGATGATTTTGACTGATAACTAAAATTTTATTCAAAGACTTTTTTTTTTCTAATTAAGGGAATGGAAAGGGTGAGAGGGGTTCAGGAAATGCTTCAGCATGTGGCTCATTCAGCAAATGGTCCACCCACAGTAATGATAAAGATTGGTCAAAATAGTGACCACAAGTTTTTAAGTTAGATTTTATTTGCTTAACCCATATGTTTCATGCAGATGTCTCATTGTAGGCTGCACTCATATTAGTGTGCTTTCAGTAGTGAATTTAAAGTAACTGAGCTGTTACACTGCAATTAGTGGTAGGGTTGAAAGTGTTGTTGCCTTTAGTTGGCTAGCCAGTGCCATAGTTTTGCAGTATTGCTGGTTAAATGAGAATCTTGATTATGTAGACAAGTGTATGTTTATTTTGTAATATGACCCATAATTACCAATTCTTGTCTCCATGAGGAAGCGTGTGCGTAATTCATTGTTCTCATGTAACTTCAAAAGTTTGCAAATACTTTCCCAAACTCTGTAGAACTGTTCTTGAACACTGTCAGTTCAGCTGAGCATAGTTACATTACATTATGATACAAACATGCCCTTGGAAAGCAACCTAATATGTATGTAAACGTTTTTTGTTTTGCACACATTTTTACTTATAGCAAAATCCAAATTTAATTAATTGACTTTTTCTCTTTAATTCAGGGTTTCCACTAAATGAGTGTAATGCAAAGTTATGACATTGAGGAACAGTTGCATCCTATAAGATGGCTTCTGAACTCATGATGTGCATGAAAGAGAACAGAACCTGTTGAAAAGAAAAGCTTATTAGAAGCACATATGTAATACTAAATGTAATTTTCATTTCACATGACAATTTTTTGTGTTCCTGTGTGCAGAATTAGCAATAACTTTTGAGTAATTAATCATAAACCTTAAGGAAAAATGAGATTTCCTAGGTAACATTAGATAGACTCACATACTTCTAGTGGCTGACACAGACTGATGATAGATTTATTTGCATTACATCCATATTTTATGATACAAGGGTGGATAAATTTCAGTCAGCATGGCCTAATAACAAATCCAGTGTATTTAATGCATTAAGACAAATGCAGGCTTATGTTCTAAAATGTGTATTCTTATTACAGAGAACTATAGTATTCAGTTAGAACATTTGTGTTTATCATATGACATCTTTTCATGCTGTGTAATGTTGGTGGCTCCACCTAATCGTGGTGAGGGGGTTTGAGTATGCCAAGGACCCTGAGAGCTATACCAGCGGTAGCGTAGCTACTGGCAGGGCCTCCCTTGCTGGACAGGTCAAAGGGTAGGCATCAGACGAAGAGAGACACCAAAAACTGATGCCGGAAGCAGCGTCATCAGCAGCGACTTCAAGCACAGAGTAAATAATGCTCGAGATGGTTCAAGTTCGTATAGCAACAGGCGTGACCAGAGTGGTTTGAACGGCTGTTGTACTGCGATGTGGAAAGCAAATGGAAAAACTACCACATTATCACTTTTCCTGGATAGTCTCTTTCCAAAACCAGAGATACCATGTATGCGAGATGTTTCATTTGAAGGAGAAAGCTCTAGATCGCATCAAGTGGAGGAACTGTTTTGGAAGAGACTGTGGACCTGTCGTCTTGACAGATTACTGATGAATGAATGAATGAATGTTAGGTGCTAGAACACTTTAAAAATCAGGAACTGTTGTGTATTTATGATGAGGTTCTGGCCAGAGAAGATACATCACAGTGTTATTATGGAGCTATTCAAACAGAAGAGAGTTTTGGCTGGTTAGTGTGTGCCACATGAAACTGTCATATATTCTATTATGTAAACACCTAAACAGAAAGTAGAGAGACTATTCAGAGGCACAAGCTTTTACCTTTTACTTTACTCTCATATATAACACATCTTGACATTGCGCAGTCATCTCAGGTATAGCCTACCATCCCAAGCAGGACTTTGCCATATCAGGTACACAAGGTATGAGTACTTAGCATTGATTAATAATGAGATTTCCTAATACATTAAATGTTTGTTTTGTTCATGAGACTATTAAATATCCTTTAATATATGGCAGTTTTCACTCTTCCCTTTTGCATAGTAGCCACATACTGGACAACCACCTGTAACAGTCCTCCTATTCTCGTCCTCGGACATAACCTCGATTATAGTTGTGGATGCCATGTGGTCCTACAACCACGTCGAAGTGCTGGGATTGGCTTCAGAGCAGGGAAAGGGAACGATGTCCAAGGTGTGCGCAAGAGATTCTCTTCAGAGCTTAACGGGCCATGCTCTAACGAGAGAGGGTTTGCTGAAGAAGTCCCTGGATTACACTTTGATGATGAAACTGAACTTGATTTATTGTCCAGCACTACACACTTTCACAAGTCAGTCACTTTAGGTTGTGGATACAACTGTACACAACACCCAATTGTTACAATGGATACACTGAATATTATAAATGCTGCACACTGAATATCACATATACACACTTATCTTAACACTACTACTGTTACTATTGTATTACTATATATACACATACTGAATCTTACACTCTGATGATTTGCCTAATGCCATCTGAAATCAGTCCTAGCGAAACTTTGGAACATCCTTCCCCATGGCCTCCAGGTGTCTCTTCAGAACTCCCCAAGCCTCCACGGGGCACCCAAAATCCCCAGGTCTCCATAGGGATCCCTGGGAATATGCAAGTATTTGAAGGGATATTCAATTTTTAAAAGGACTCCCCAGGGCTATGGAAGAATCCTCAGGGGTACCAAGGACTACCCAGTGGTCCTGAGGGCTCCCCTGGGCTTTCAAGTGTTCCCCATGGTTCCCAAAGGCTCTCCAGTGATCCCACGACTCTCAAGTTCTCCCCAGGGTACCCCAGTTTTCCACATGGCGCTCCAGGATCCCCTATGACTCCCCATGGGTCCCAAGGGATACCCAGATCTTGCCAGGACTCCCCATGGCTCCTCAGGTCTCCTCAGTATTAACCAGCAGGTCTCAGCAGGTATCCGACCGGCTTCCCAGAGCTCCCCAAGAATTCACAGAATTTCTCAAGTCTTCCAAGGTTCCCCAGGGATTCACAGATTTTTCCAAGGCTTCCAAGGTTCCCCAGGACATGCCAGTAGAGCCCAGGTCTTGCCAGAGCTGGAGCACATGAAGCTGAAGAATTTCCACTGTTGAAGCCGTTGCCTGGTAAAGGCTGATGAAGACACAGCAGGCTGGAAAAGGGCATAGCAGGTGCTGTGGTGATTTGTGAATTGTGATCAGCGGTGGCGCTGTAATTGTTTGTAGTTCCGAGGCGTGTGTAAGTGGTCAATAAATCCATTCACCAATCCAAACCTCGTCTATAGTCACACATACTTCGTGACAATAATAATCAAAATTACTTGGCATTCAGTAATTATGCCAAGTTAAGAATAGTTAGACATCGCAATTTATTTACTACAAACCATTCATTCAAATAAACTGTTACGCTTTATATTAAGGAATAATCCTGTAAGTAATATGATCTGAAAACATAACGGCCGCTTATAACCTCATGCAAGGCTTGCAGTAGTGACTGTTAAGAACAGAAAGCGCGGGAGGGAGGTTTGTACACTATGCAACTGAGCTCGTCATTGGCTAAATTTTTGTGTGTCCGCTCTCAGACTTCACTTGTTTCTATGTAAGACTCCAGCAGCGGCTGGTTCGTCAGGCCATCCTCCACACCGACTCGCTTCATTTTATTCACCAATTGAGGAAAACCGCTAGAGCCTTTGAGGATGTGCGGTGCCCCAGCCGGCACTCGAACCGAACACCTCCCAAATTCAATTCAGAGGCGCCACTGCCTGAGCCAATTAGCCCGGTGACTCACTGCATAAAACAGAAAGAAAATGCACCAAATTGTTTATTATGTACAAGAATATAAATCTGCCAAAATATAGTGCAAACCCGATTTTATTACACTTATTATTGGTGAATCTTCAAACAGTGTTTTTCTGAGTATCAGGACTTGAAAGCGTATAGATGGAGCAAATGCAAACCTCCATGCATTCTAGACCACACAGATGCTGAGGTTGATTGATCAGCTTCAGGTTCCGACCTCTTTACTTCCAATTACTTCCAGTCTGCAGTCACCTGCTCACGCTGGTTCCTCGCTCGCGGATTTTCTTACCCTGAAAATGGAGACAATACGTTCGTCCGAAACATCGGTTCATACAAGATCTACAAGGCGCCACATTCCAGAATACGGCGTTAAGGCTCCCACACACAGACGCGATACTCGGTACGGTACGGGACGTATCTAATTACATTGCGGTAAATGGAGGTCCGCACACTGGCGCGGTACTCCGAGGAACGCGATATTATCGCAGTCGCTCGGTAGACCGCTCGGTATCGCAGCGGTAAATAGTCATGGATGCGTCTTTGGAGGAAGAAGTTTTGCTTTTAGCTGTCGCTCTTGATGAAGACGAAGGTGAATCCCGGCAAGTACTTTACTGAACACTAAATCTGCGTAGTTCTTTTCCTCCAAATATTCAGTATGTCATATTGATTGATTGATCAGTTATCTGTCAGATGACAGGTCCACAGTCTCTTCCAAAACAGTTCCTCCACTTAATGTGATCTTCTGTTTTTGGAAAGAGACTATCCAGGAAATGTGATAATGTGGTAGTTTTTCCATTTGCTTTCCACATTTTTTTTTTTTGACTGGAGTGGCCGAAAGCTGTCCGAGGGCACCTTGGGCCAGCAGCCTGCCGGGGCGCCGGGGACGNNTTACAATTCCATAACGAGTCTCTAATTAAGTACGTATAAGTGGTTGCTATGTGTGTTCGTATTTTAGGCGAAAGAGACGAATCGCTTGGATTCATGATATAAACTTGTCAAGAGAGGAACTGGGGGAGTTTTATACACTGATACCTCAACTCCTGAAGGACGAAAAACGGTTCTATATATATTTCAGGATGAATATTGACAGATTTGATGCAATTCTGAGAGCCATCGGGCAAGAAGATATCACTAAACAATATACCAATTGCCGGAGGCCTATTCTTGCCATTAAGTGGAGGATTTTTTTGATACCCATAGAACTGAAAGAATGAAATATAAAACACTTTGTATCAGCAGCGTCTTTGCTTCATAATTTTCTACATCTCAAAATCTGTGATGAAAAGTACAGGGAAGAACTGCTACGAGTGGAGCCATTAGAAGGAGAAATGTTCCCTATCCAACCTTTACGTCTCCCAAGGGTGGCAAACGTTAGCTACGCCATTAGAGAGCGGTTTGTTGCGTACTTCAACTAGATGACTGTCCCTGGAATTCGTGTTAGTGAACGGAACTGGTGCATAGCCTACAGTAAGAATGCCCACAGTTACTGTATACTTAACCCTATATAAATATATACAAATTTTTCTACTTGCTGTCTCTGTTCATTGTAACAGCCAATTCCTTCCACTTTCTATCCTTAGCACGTGAATCCTTGAACATCGGATGACGAGTATCGTACAGTAAAGCATTTTCTTTGACGAACTCTATTATTTGTTCCATCTGCCTACCCATGTCGTTTCACGTACGTATAGATACTGATTGAGTGTGAGTCATGGCCAGCTGGTTATCGGGTGTCAAAGATTCCCGAGGTTCCCGAGTGTCGCGGCTGTGTGCGCGGCCCACTCGGTAAACAACCGCTTTCGTCCCGAGTGCTATATCGTCCCGAATCGTATCGCGTCTGTGTGTGGGAGCCTTTATCCTTAGCCACCGCCGTGAAAACCTCAAATCTTATAAATTGAATATATGTTTGTTTGTTTACCCGAGTACTTTATGATGTGTATTTCTTCTGGTCTAGTTATTAGTCAACATCACAAATTTCACTTTACCCAAAGGGAGGATGATTTTGAATGATATTTTTGAGAGGACGTAGAACGCTCGTGGCTTGCGGTAATCGAATCAAGTGACAGAAACAACACTGAAAGCCTGATTCAGAATGGCCAAGATTATAACTTGGAACCTCACGGGTACTAAGCAAACGTTGAGAGTACTCAGCACCCATTCGACACCACGCGTGTCCCCCGGATCTTATCTCCTATTTTCCCCTGTATTCTCCTACGTTTTCCAGCACATCCCTTTCCAATACCCTTCCCCGCAAAAATCTGTAACTATTTACATTTCGTCCCAGCAGTGGCATGCGGTACTATTTTTGGTAAGGGAAGCAAGTTGCACTGTTGAAATAATGTGAGTCTGAGAGTTTTCATGTCTTTCAATGCTAATGAAGGTTGTTTATAACACCAAACCCAGTCTTGTTCCATACATTTTTTTCATTGAGAAACAATAAGAATGGCCAACAAAACAGTTTTCCTATATTACGGCAACCGGATAGCCACTCTTTTTTAGAATACTGTTCCAAATTAAATTAAATTGGTTTGTGCTTTAAGTTCTGGCAACTCGCATGTCGGTCGTTCTTATTTTATTTATTTTCTTTTCAGAAAAATCCCTGCTATGAAACCCCAATTTTAAAAGGCTTTCGACTGCACAGTCGCAGTCACGTTGCCTGCCATCATTCATTTTAGCTGTTCCGTGTGCGTGTAGTCTAATCACTCCCCTCCCACTTGTACCACAATATCACACTTGCTTCTCTTAAACGCGGATAGCTCACAAATACACGTACAATCTTACGCCATCTAAATATGAACTTAACAATATTTTAATAAAACTTAATGTTACCTATAACACCGAACAAGACAGTTAAATTTCATATAACCATCGAAATAACACAATCCTTCGCTTCTATATCACAGGCCTAGCCAGCAAACTGAAATTCGGTTCCCTGACAACTTCGGGTGAGACGAAATCATACGAAGATTAATGGAAGGAAACTTGGTCCCTACCCCCAAGCAGGGGAAGGGAGGAGGCATGTGGCCTTGAGCACACGCTAAAATGTTCAGAACATGACAATATTCACATCCTTATTATTCAAATTGAATTATTTATATATGGCTTCTTTTCTTTTCATTTCTTAACTACGGAAGCAATAATTCCCTTGCTTCCATGCACGGCACGCCACTGCTTCCAAGCTACATGTCCAGTCCATCGCAACCTGTACATAAATAACCTAACAGAACTAGACAAAATATAATACCATCCCTCTTATTTCAGTTCTACTCAGATCCGCTTTCCTAAAAAATTGTTTTCTAACATCTGTAATTCTTCCCGTTCCCTTGAAGTGGCCACCACTTTCTGAAGACAAAACGTAACAGTAAGGAATATTGTAACTTTATATGTTTCCCATCTCTGTCGTTCTCCAAAGTTTAAGGATGAGAACAGTTTAACTGGGCGTTTATGATTTATTAAAACCGGCATATTGAATACCCCTGGGCTCTATACTTTAATATAATTCTGTGACTCTCCTTACTCTGGCAATTTCTCCCTATTTAATTGTATTGTCGTATAGCATTGCTGCCCCTGAGTAGCTCTGTCAATAAATTAACTGGGTATGGGTACAGACGACCGGGGTTTGATCACCAGCAGTGCAGACATTTTCTCTTTGTTTCCGCATTTAAAGGCCTGGCGTACCTGGCGCCAACAAATTTGTACATTATTGTTCTTTCCCTGAGAGTCCTACCACACATGGGGTGTAGAATGATCGGATCATAACCTTCATGCCGTCATACACACCCTGAGCGTAAGAGTTAACACGCCGAATGGAACACGTCGCCACTTGTACATGAGAATTTCAGCCCGAGAACATAGTCAGAGAAGCAATATGTTACATCTATATCTATATAAAACGTTACTTTGTTCCGTTATTTTAAAAAATTGTCCTAAGCACTCGCAAAATGACTCTGTTTCTCACTCTGTGATAAAAGCGAGGTTTCGTAAACAAGTAGTATTTCGACGTTATTATAATTACTTGTTTATTGAATTTTAAATTAGAAAAAACCGCACTTCGCCCAAAATTTACTGATGTCTGTATATTTGCTGTGTTATTTTTTTATTTCGAGCTTGGAACGTAATTTGTATTTTACGGGAGCCGCGCTGAATGTAAGTTCACCGTCTCTGAGATTGACACGTGTCGAATAATTCTCGTTCCTCCCCTGGTCAGTGCGACTTGTCAGTAGGTTACGTCAGATGGTCGCTTATCGTTAGTGAGTGAATGTGGGACTCGCATGTCCAGTGATATGTTTGTCTGAAACTACATACTTTGGGTGGCAAAGCAGCCTGCAGTACCGTGAGTGGTGCTAATTCGAGGATTTGCAAGTATCCGTGGCTTTATATTAATTGAGATTAATTGAATGTAGTGATGAAAATTCGAGAAACCACTTTGAAATACTCGTAGTTTGCTTGGCGAAGAGGTTGTGGTACATTCCGAACCGACGTTGTTTCCGAATATTACAGTGTTCATTACATTTATTTATAACAATTTGCTAAATTCTAGTATTACCATTTCGATTTAAATTCCCTATATCATTGCTAAGAGGTGCATAATTACAATTTGCAGGAGGTAATTAGCATCAAGAATTACGTGAAAACTTGGACGTAATTTTTGATGACAAAAGTGTTTAATATTTTGAGTATTATAAAAGATTGGACTAATTTAGAAGTTCATAAGTATATGTAAGTTTTGAGGTTTTCACGGCGATGACAATGAAGAAAGTCGTCTTCTGGGTTTAGGCACCGTGTATTCTTCGTTCCTCCGAAACGTCGGCCAAAACGAAGAATACACGGTGCCTAAACCCAGAAGACGACTTACTTCATAGGTATATGTTTGTAACATTGTAGAGTAACTCGCAATTTGTTCCACTCCAGAAACTGCACAATTCGTAATTTTCGAGCAGATGTATGAATATGGAGGTTGGATTGTACTACTTTGTAGTCATTTTGGGTTTGAGGCTTTGGCGCTTTTGTGAACATATTAAAAGTGATATACATTAGAAAATTAATATCATGCATTAACAATTACGGTACTTTAAAAAGTTCATATTCATTTATTTTTAAGATCTTAACTTCAGTAGTTTTAGATACGCAAGTTTGTTGAGGTTCGGAGATTCAGGGGTCTATCAAAACTAAGCCAGGGCTTCGATGTGGTGTCGCCATTTGCGTATCTTGTTTCGTCATTGGAAGACTGTATTTCCGCCACTGTCTAGCAAGAGTGACGCCTTATAATGAGGCTACCTGAGATACACACGGTAAGAAAATTCTCCTGAAACAAAGTGGCAGTGTAGAAAGTCTTACTACACGTATGTGGATCTATTTACGTACATATTTCTATCTTGTATTATGTCTGTACTCCATCGCGATCGATAGGTATATTAAATCGGTAAAGTTTGAAGCTAGGAAGCTACTGATCTTTGTTACAACTTAATATCGTTGTTGGATGTCTATCACTAGATACTGTTTTACAATTGCTTATATAAGACTTATTTCGAAATATGTTTATATTTACAAGAAATATCACACAATAATGCTTTCATTCCGTCAAATTATGTGTAATTCTTATAACCCGTAACGGTTAGTTTCTTTACATGCGAACTATTCGTGTACTGAATTGGTGCACTATTTTACTTAACGACATTTGACCTGACCTCAAAAACTTATAGGCTATTAATGTGAGAACTCATACCTTTACATACTTCTTAGGGCATTACGCTAAATTGCGAAAAACTGCAAAAATGTACCTCTTAACTGGGATCAGATTTCTGCTCTTAAGGTACCTGATCATTGTAGCAGGCAGGTTTTCAGTGCGTGGATCGCGAGTTTCATTTCGTGGGGCTTTATGCTTATGCTCGTGTGTTTACGGGAGTTAATTAAACTGCCTTCCCGCAAAATTGTTGAATTGATTTCGAGGAAGAAATGATATTAAAGATGTGGAAATATTTATTCATGTGTATGGCTTATTTAAAATGTGATTACATTGGTATTATGAAATATTGTTCCGCTAACTTTGATATCACGAGGTTCTTGTGATATTATTAATCGTTTTCTGTTTACAACCTTCCATGGAGGGTTCTTATTCTGTGAAATATCGAATTGTGTGTTTGTCAAGGAAAGTTATAATAATAAATGTCCAGCTATGTACAGCTTCCGGTTGCGTATATACATATTCTAAGTGTTTCGTCCTAAACTGGGAAAGGAAATATGATAAAAAATCACACGTTTCCTGTGTTCATACCTGAGACCATATTTATAAATAGTTTATTAAGGAGTCGTGTGTGTTTTTGTAGTCATATTGCCCGTTACAGTTTATTTTTAAAGGAACCTTGCATATTTCCTGCAGTGCGATTAAATTTTATTTTTATGATTGTTACTAATGCAAATTTACAATATGATAATGGGAATATTAGTGACATGTCACGTGTGAAATTTAACAGACGTAAGTTCGAGTGCGTGTGAAGTGATACCAGCCGTTACGTCACGGCCTGTAAGGAACTGTACTGGCCGCACAGACTCGGTGATATCCGTGGAACAAATTTCCAAGAGGACAGTTGAAATTGCACGCGTCGATCGGGATAAGCGTGTGCCGTTTGTGATCGCAACAACCATCTAAGTGTTTCTGATAGAGTGTTGTGATACAATATTTTGTCAACGGCTGCAACGCTCCGTGGAAATGACAGGGTCCGTCCGACGAAGACTTCGAAGCGGGGACCGTGGCAAGAGGAGTTCCTCGCAAATCATAACGTTGAGAACAAAACAGTGCCGTGCGGAACCTTTGGCGCTTGTGGGCCCATCCGCGGGAGGATGGAATGGGTACTTGCAGCAAATCGGGTTCACCGTAGCATCGTCACGGTCTTATCGGGCTAGTCCGGCCCCAGGCTGGTAATAATAAAGCAGCACCGTGCCAGGCAACTCAGTATCTGATGCGGTAGCCGCCATGACTCAGGGCTTAGGTTAAGGTCGAATTTGACATCCTGTGTATTTTATATATTTGTTGATTACTTTGTAAGATGTTGTCTTCCCGCCCTCCCCGTTAGGTGCCCAAGATAGATTATCTGCTTAGGCGACATCCAATTTTGCCCGTCTGCTAGCATAATGGATGCTTATTAGGAGAGTTTAGGTTTTAAGTATTTCTTTTGTGTCAATTTTTATGGCACAGGGTGACAACATGACAGGGTTCGGTCGGCACGACAATGAGATCAGTGCGAGAGGGAGAGAGATAAAGAGAACTTTAACGGTCTCTTAAATTATTAATTGTATGAAAATGTTACATATCCAGCGTTGGTGAAACACCGGCCTCCCATTTACATGACCGGTTCGCTCCTGTAGAGTTCTGCAGTGTAATGCGAGAAGCACAGAATCAGGTCCCATTGTCACAATATAATCCCGCTCATCATCCAGAAGAGTGTTTCCGCAGCGTTCTGGTCTCATAACTCCCCTTAACTTTACGGAAGTACTGACCTACCCCGAAAACAAGAAGTATCATATACAGTTACATAATTTTGGAGAGCATAGAAAAGAGAAAAGAAATTTATCGTGAAGTGATTTTGTGTGCTGCATCCGATATTATGGACAGACCTTTATTCTGGATTTAATCTTCTCACAGCAGTGACTTTAAAGCGCTCTCTCTCCGGAGACGTAACGCGCTGCAGTCCGGCAGAAGTCAACCGACGTTTCGGAGGAATATATCAGTGTATGGCATTGCCTCACTTTTGAACACCGCATGAAGATGGTGGCGATATGGTCCTCCGAAACGCCGGTTTACTTTCACCGCACTGCATGGCGTTACGTTCCAGACGATAGGAATCTTCGCAAATATTTTCTTTACTGAAAATTCTTACTGGTGCTGAAAATTTTGGTCTTATGATAAGTGTATGGGGAATGGGTTTTGGGGTGATAATTTCTTTGCTTATTCAATTACACTTTCTAAACTGAATTTTTCCTTCTCAGTGCCGGATGGTGCAGCAATTTGTAAGCTATTCCAATGATGCACTGCAACAACATTTGCTTGCCTGCACTGATGTGAACCACAGAAGGCTTCGCTCTGGAGCAGGCAATTTTTTATCCGAGACTTGAACCCAGGACATCTTTAATAGAAGCAGCAGCACTGTAATGCGTAACCCATTCGCCACCAGCTCCAAGTCTTCTGTGTCTGTGCACTTCTCACTTCGGTGCCCATGAAGGCTGCTATCCTCAGGTACTTGGTGCCGGGTATCGAAGCACGTTTCACCGAAACGTCGACAAACTTATAATTTATACTAGACAACACGACGTCACATCCCAGAAGACAGTATTATACAAGTTTGAGGCGCCCCATTGTCTAAGACGCAATTTAAATAAATAATTACTAATTCATTCAATATATGATGCTATCATAAAACATTTATTCAAATTTCTGTTGTTTTTAGTCAGTTTTTTCGGTTGCCTCCGGTAATAGTTCCAGAATCCTTGAGGGGTGGGGGAGCTGCTCCCAGTTTGAGAAACTGTGGCGTAACTAAATTACTATGTGAAGCTGACCCTTTCTTGAGAAGACGCCAGTTGTGCAGCTACTCAAAAGCTTCCCAACAATTTATGGAACCTGAAGGTTCAATATCGTGTTGACAAGAGCCTTCCATTGGTTCCTATCCTGAGCCAGATCAGTCCAATCCATACCACCCCATACTATCTCTCTGAGATCCATTTTAACAGTATCCACCTGCCTACGTCTGTTGAAGATTGTGTCTGTGTACACGGTTAGAGGTCCTCCCGTTTCCCCAACATAGCTTCTTCCACACTCACAGGGAATACTGTAGATGCTCTGTGCCGTCTGTTGAGGACCTCTTTCCGGCCTGGTTCTCATGAGTGAAATTTTGAAAGTGTACGTAATTAGTTTTGAAGATGGTCGTAATGTTGTAACGATGTTTGAATATTTCTGAAACGCCATTTACTTATGGATTATACATAAGCGAAGGGGCCTCTCCTCTTGATACGGAATTTATAACCGACTAAACAAAACTTTGGGAATAACCCTAAGCTGAAAATCACTTTCAGGTTACAAATTTCATTATACAGATGTTGTCGTTCTTGGCATGAGCTCTATTGCGAAGATTCTAAATCAAACCTCTTTTCACATGCGGCGGATGGTCAGATTGGAGGTTGAGATATCGGCCAGTGTGGGTCGGTCTGTTTTCTACATATTTTAGTGACCGGTGTCGTCCCTTTCTTGCTGACAGATCATCTAGAAAAGTAATCGTACGGTACGATTCCTTAAAAAAAGACTGAGTTGTCCCGACTCCATAAAGTGTAATAATTTTACATAATATTTTGTCTGAGTGTGAAACTTGGTCTCGCACATGAAGCCAATAACATAGGAAGTAATCCAGAGTGCCAAACATCATCGTCAGAATCTAATGGAACTAGTAATTTATTTGAATCTATCAGTACTACAAGTTGAAGAATTTAAACAAAATTTTCGAGCCATGAACGTGGTTTGTGATTGATCCCAGACCGAGGCCACGTTGTTTCAGTCCCGCCAAGTTTATTGTGCTCTGGCTTAAAAATATTGTGGGGGCAATTTCTTCTATACATTATGTAAACTTAATCAAAATAAGTGAAGTAGTTTTCGACAAAACTGGCATCTGACGCTTGGGTCCCGCAGGGCGCATGTCGTTACATTCCTGAAGACACTGCCTCTGCAGATTTGTGTAGAAGATTATGTCCATAAATTAAGAAAAATAATGGAAATCAGTAGAAATATTTTCGAGCAAATCTCAGTTTTGTGTTTGGGAGCCCCTGTGGAGGGCCCATATTTTCGGAGTTAGAATGTTCATATTCATCAGGCGTCGACATATGGTGGATATACTCCAAAATACCGAATATAAATAAAATCCTTCCAATCTTTCTGGTGCTGGCGAGGAGTACCTGCAGAGGTACAGAGGCACAGAACAATCTAAAAATATAGGGCGTTCAATCAAAGAGGAAACTTCGCAACACCTCTCACCGAGCCCAATATTCCTCACAGATTGCTGCTGTAACTGTAACTAAGTTTCCTTCTTAACTGATCGGTCTGTACTTTTCTCATTCTGGGATGCTTAAAACGTGTAAATATGTAAATAAATGGACACAGAATATTCCGTGTTCACAGTATTTCCTTGTACTACATATGATATGGACTTAATATTACTCCTATTCAATAACTCAGTTTTCCGTCTGTGTCTATGCAGAAGCTCTGGTGACTATGTAGGGTTGCGTCGTTTTCCTGTATTGTCACGTATGTGAGGTTGGCGTGACTGATGATAATGAGTTCTAGATCGGACGACTTGGATTATTGAACACTTCTTCCAGTTTACAATCAATTATAGCGCTGTCACTAATCTTCACAATTCACTAGAACATAACATGCTCCATTCTCGTCCTTGTTCTCCCAACTAGTCTGCAGTCTGAGTCAGTGTCAGAGTCAGAGTCAGAGTCAGAGTCAGAGTTACTTTACGACTGCCGATTTACCGCCAATAAATTAGTCTTGGCGACAACCTCCTTGAGACTCCCGACCAGCAACTATTTCAACTGAATTTTTGCTTTCAGAATTATTTTGTAACATCCTCTCTAGCAAGAGGATGGGTCTGTAGTTTGCAATTGCTGCTGGCCCTCGCCAGTACTGTCATTCTCAGGTCTCAGTCCCGCGGGACTCATGACCACAATTTACTGTCTAAGGTTCGAGACTCCACCAACCTGGAGGGCCAGGTCCCCGTATTGATATCCCCCAGGAAAAGGGTGACCGCCTCTGTGGTCTAGTGGTCAGATTACCTAGCTACAGATCCAGAACTCCCGGGATCGATTCCGGACGCTACCAGATTTTCTGAGAAGTAGTGGGTCTGGAACGGGGTCCACTCAGCCACGTCAGGACAATTGAGGAGTCACTTAAATGGAAAAATAGCGGCTTCAGTCTAGAAACCCGCAATTAACGGCCGTGGGGATTTTACTGTTGTATACAATCATTGTAAATACAAAGGTCTATGCAATGCCTATCCGGCATTCTGTAGCATATTCTTATAAACATCCTATTCCAGTGTTTCTGAATCTTTCTCAACCAGTAAAATGTCTGAAGAAAAATTCTACGGACCACTAAGTTATGTAGGCCTATTTTTAAACCTGTGTGGTATTACCAACATTTAGTACATACTATGCCATCTATAACATAATAAATCTATAAGAATGTTTTGAATACATATGGAAACATAATTAATTAAATTGGAAGTAAATTATTAAAAGTGAATCACCATTGAACAAAGTTTTAAGCTTTATTAAACGAATGAAGAATATGATATAATTAATTTTTACTTGCTTATTTAATTTTAATTTGTTTTGGTTGTTCATGATGTGTATTTGTACCAACCGTCTTACAGTGCACACAATTTCACCTTTCTCTTCACTACATGTTTCGGCACTAATGTGCCATCTTCAGGTGTGGTTTTGTTTACGTCAAACCATTGCACTGTATGCACTGGTGATCTGGTGGTCGTAAAAGAGAGACTGGGAATAAGTAAACAACGGACAGAGTTCATCAGGAGAGGTGCGATCTCAAGAAATCAAGCGAAGTAGACGGTAAAGAGCAGTATCGTGTTGAAATCTCAAAAAAAGGTTCACAGGTTTGGAAAACTTAGACTGGCTTAGACACTGAGGTGGCCGCGCCATAGCTCAAGCTGTTAGTCGTTGGCTTCCCACCGTGGCGGCCCGGGTTCGATACCGGGGCCTAGTCAAGCGGGATTTGTGGTGGACAAAGTGGCGCTAGGGCAGGTTTTCTCCGAGTACGTCGGTTTCCCCTGCCAGTCTTCATGCCACTAATTGGTCCACAGTCACCCTCGCCGAAGTACAAGTAATATTTCTGTATCTCTTGGCCATGGATCAGTAATGTTACTAATTCTCACCTATCCTCTAACTTCACGGATTGCTAAATGCCTATTACTATCACCTGCTGCTATAGGTGAATTAACTATGACCTCTTTGACGTGTTTCACCGTCTCTGGCCATGTGCATGTGACCGCGTGTCGCTGTATGTGAGGTTGAAGTATTTAAAATAGTTGAGCCGACAATGTGCTTGATATAAACCTGTTGTGTAAAGTGTTTATGTTTTATGGTAGGCTCTGTCTTTTCATTATGTTCATTTGTCGAGAGTTTTAGAACGTGAGATTTTTTGCAGAGTGTAATTTTTACGCAGAGAATCGTATATGATGAAATACCGTGTTATTATTTGAGGTTATATTTTGTGAGAAGGGAAAAAAGTAAATGGAGAAAGGTGACATTAAATGCCCGCTTATGTCATCAAAACATGAAGATAAAGTAGAAGATTGTAATTTGTGGACGAGGTAAGCGTTGTTTCAAACTGAACACACGTTTTCGGGAAGAGCTTTGGTGAATTTCAAATGCGTACCTTGTTACGGTGTGTTATGTCACGGCCGATGTCGTTCGAGACTCTTGCTTTAAAGTTACAGATTAAGAAATGCATTGTGTTTTTATTTGCAGTTTGTATTCAGCTTACTATTAATGATCATTGTTCGTTCAGTATGGATAAAATTAAGCACCATGATAAACTAATGTTACTATGTACGAGTAATGCAGAGTAATCCGAGATGAGTACTAATATTATTACTGAATGAGTTGTGAAGATCGTGTTTTGACAAGAGAGAGCCAGTACAGAGGTCAGAGTTGATGAAAACAAAGTACAAAATCTGTACTTCAGAATTAATGTTTTGCTTAGTCTCATACATATATACAATTACACAGCTTAAATGTCCTGATATGGAAAGATTGACTTACGTAAATACACTTTATAAGCTTCTTTGTCTTTTATCCCCAATTTTCCGTGTCTTCCCAGTAAACCCAGCCAAGGGGGTCAGAAATTGCAAGCCATTCTTCCTGCTAGTAACAGTAAACTACAAACAGTTTTCATCACTAATAAATGTTATTACATTGAGTATTCTTATGCTGAATCACAGAAGATGTTCAAAGTGATGTTCCTCTACTTAGGCAAACTTAATGTCAAGTTAACATGTTTCAGAACTCTTGATGAAGCCCTTTGTGGAAAATGTTTGAAATTGTCAACTGTTTTCTTTCAGTTCTGTCATATGCTGATTGTTGACATGTCCATTAGCATGCCTTGCAAGCAGAAGTCACCTGGGTTTAAGTGAGGGAACGCAAAGGCCTCTGATCGATAAGTTGGTTACCAAACACTTCTCTTAATGTAGGATTTGAGGTTATCACAGCAGTGATTATGAAGCGTTCTGTCTTGTGGAATGTAACACTGTGCCGTCCATTGAAAGTCAGCTGGTGTGTCAAAGGAACATATTACTTCAGTCTTCAGGGTCAAAGAGTAAGCCAAGCAAGAAACCACTTTGTTGCTTGGTTTACTTTTTGATCATGAAAATGGAGGCGATATGTTCCTCCAAAATGTTGCCTTTCACCATACTGCACTGTGTTATATGCCAAAAGATATAACTCTTCTCTTTTCATAATGCTGACATCAGCCCATCAGCCCTGTGAGCTGTGGCATTTTCTTGTATGTAGTAACCAAGTTTTGTATCCATCTGTCAGTTCTTCGAAAAGGGATTTAAGCCTTAAATTTACATGATGTAAAGAGTTTATGAGTTCATTAAAAATGAATGGCCTGATTGTTCTCCTGGAAATAAGTGAACACCAAACTCTGAATTTAATATCAGGAAGTGGATATCAGCCATGCTTATCGCCAAGAAAAAAAAACTTTCAGATTAATGATTTTGTGAGGCATGTGTCCCAGTCTCAGAATAGCAAGTCTCTGAACAGCAGTTTTCTCATATTGTCACAATATTCGAAATCTCATTGCTGTATGTGCAGATCGTAGTAACACACTGAATTGTCTGACTAACCGCGTCAGAGGTTTCCTGGGTTCTCCTCCAAAGGAAGTTACAGTTTCGTTTAATTTTTTCCATCATTTTGTTCTTTTTATCCAGCATTGATCCCATATTACAAAAACTTTTACAACTCCTCTATCATTCACTTGCTAGGAATTTATGGTAGCATATTCTGTAGGATGATTTTTTAGCAGATATTTCTACTAGGAACACGTTGCCCAGAACTATACACTCTATTCTCAGTGTCAATTCACTATGAGGAAAAGATGTCAAATGAAATGATGTATGATATCTTGTGCATGTTTCACTAGAAGAACATGTGAAATTTATGCTTGCAGCAAATAAATCTTGGCCAGCTCACTTTCCAAGTTCATTCATGGTGTCATACATTGAGGACTCTGTGTAATGAGAGACCACACAGGATACTCTACCCAGACTGCTTTTAGTTTAGAGTTGTAATATCCTCTGTATTTTTTGGAGCAGCTAGGTTATGAATGGAGAAGTATACTTCATTTTTCGTACTTAAATTTTGCTTTTACACTAAAATTAGCTCTTCAGAAGGGTTTCAAAATTTTAATCAGATAATGCTAAACTCTCCGGGGGGAGGTGTTTCTAGAGGAAAGTGCGAAGATCAGAAGGAACATCACGGCTACAAGATTGGAACATGGATTGTAAGGACCTTGAATCAAGCAGGAAAATTGGAGAATTTGAAAACGGAAATGCAGAAGAATGAGGCATCTGTTTTAAATGTCAGCGAAGTGCGGTGTAAAGGACAAGGTGAAATAAGAAGCGGTGATTATACAGTGTATTATTCTGGAGGTGAACGGGCTGAAAGAGGTGTGGCAATAGTGGTGCATAAAAGTGTAGTGAGGAGTGTTGCTAAGAAGATTGGTTGTAATGACAGAATTATTGCTCTGAAGTTAAAGGCGGAACCGGTAGATATACTGATTATGCAAGTGTACATGCCAACATCAGAGTATGAAGATGATGAAGTGGAAAAAGTGTATGACACAATTGAAGAAATTCTTCAGGAAGATGGAAGAGGAGACACAAACAGCATCATATTGGGAGACTGGAATAGCATTGTTGGAGATGAACCATATCAGAATATTGTTGGATCACATGGACTAGGAAGACGGAATCACAGGGGTAAAATGCTTATTGACTTTTGCGAAAGAAATGGACTGATTGTTACCAACACTTGGTTCAAGAAGCCAAAGAGAAGACTTTACACATGGAAGGCAACTGGGGATTGGAGGCGGCATCAGCTGGACTACATCTTTGTGAAACATTGATTCAGAAACAGTGTGAAGGATATGAAGACGCTGCCTGGGGCAGATATTGACTCTGACCACAACTTACTGGTTGCCAAGTTTTGAATCAGGTTGAAGAAAATTATAAGATTCCAAAGCACAGACCTAGATGGGATTTGGAGAAGTTATATGCTCAAAGACAAAGCATGCAGGAGACCCTAGAAGAGAAACTCGGTGCAATTGAAGGTGAAAGCGGAAATGCTGAAGCGCAGTGGAACAATATAAAGGAATGCATTTTAGATAGTATTAGTGAATTGGTTGGTAAAGTTGAGAAGATAGCAAGAAAACCATGGGTTACACAGGAGATGATGAGTAAAATGGAGGAGCGAAGGAAATGGAAGAATGTCAACAATGAAGAAGGCAGGAGGAAATACAGGAGACTGAGGAATGAATTGAAAAGAGCCACGGACAGGGCCAAAAAGGAATATCTTGAGAAGATATGTAATGAGATTATGGAATTTCAAAGAACAGGCCGTTATGATTTGATGTACATGAAGACAAAAGAACTAGGATGGAAAGAGAACCATGGGATTCAAAATATTGGTGTCGAAGACACCCAGGGGAATAGAATAGTAGATCAGAGGCAAGTGCTGAAAATTTGGGAAAATTATATTACAGAACTATATGATCAACCTAATTGGCCAGAAACCTTGGAAGTGGAACTGGAAGAAGAAGTAGATACAGATGAGAAAGGACCATATATTTTACAAAGTGATGACATGAGGAATGGGAAGGCTACTGGAGATGTGCTTAAGTTACTGGGAGAAGGTGGTATGAAAACACTGACAAAACTGATAAACACCATATATGAAACTGCTGAGTGGCCCAAAGACTTTACAGAAGTGACAATGATTGCCTTAAAGAAAAAGACAAAAGCTACAAAATGCAGCGACCATCGCACAATAAGCCTTATTGCACATACAGCAAAGATAATAGCAAAGATACTTAAAAGAAGAATTGAAAGGAGAATAGAGAATATACTTGGAGAGGATCAGTCTGGATTTAGAAGAGGAAGAGGAACCAGGGATTCAATTGGGATGATGAGAATTATAGCAGAATGAACTTTGGAGATAGGTGAAGAACTGTGTGCTTGCTTTATAGACTGGCAGAAGGCATTTGACCGTGTAAATTGGACCAAATTAATGCAGATCCTAAAGGAAACAGGCATCGATTGGCATGAAAGAAGATTGATTAGTAAATTGTACATGGATCAGAAAGTTAGAGTGCGACTGGACAGAGGGAAGACAAGAAGTGTGAAGATTGGAAGAGG